TAAAATATATTTTTAAAAATTATAAAAACTAAACAGCCTACAGTATTTTTACAGTCTTTATTTTACAGTTAAAATATATGTTTATCAAATAAAGTCTAACGTTACAACCAATCGGGGGTCGTTTTGAGATGCATTATGTTCAAAATGYACATAGTTTTTAGAACTAAATGTAATTCTTGTAGTACTTCAACATACTCTGTTTTCATTCACACACTCTTATTGTGTGGAGTAAAGTTTTAAACTGTTCTTGCATTTAACAGTGACAATGATAGTTGAGTAATGAGGTGCATTGCAAAGAAATCACATCTAGTGGAAAATTGGACTGTATTAACTGGGATATCACATGTTGTAGAAAACTTATTCTATCAGAGAAAAATATCCTCTCATTTCTTTTGTTAGATCTTCACAGATCATCATTCTGAATAGCAAAAGGCTAAGTAACAACTTAATCAACCTTTCAAACGGGATTAACTGCGGCACGGCCGGTATTTATGTAGATCATTGCTGTATTTACACAATGATAAAAAGCCCGGGGAACTGCTCCACCTGTGGCTGACTGTGGGTGATATGTTGACTTTGAGCCACCTCGAGTCATCAAACTGCAATTAAGACTGTCGGCATCAGTCTCTCTGTCAATATCGGCCGTGTTCTGTCAGAGCCCATTTGAGGCTGTCAGTGGGGGCACAGTTATGGAGATGTAATTCACAAAGACACAGCACATCCTGCTTTGCAGACCTCTTTTCTTTCCTGTAAAACATTCACACTCTGCTGAGAGAGTCAGGGGGCCTCAGCTCACGCAGATGTTACACTCGCAGCAGTATGGTCTCCCTTGCACCTATTTTATGTAGGCTGAAAAGTGCACAAGGGTGGCACAAAGACTGCTGTTTAAAATTTACAGCTTGTAAAAATCACCTCTTCCTCTCAGAGGTCTAGTTTCCCTTGTACTTATCATGCAAGACTTTTTTAAAAATATGTGCAAATGCATGGATTTAGTGTTTTGTTTGTGTTTTTCATTATAGCAAAATAGAAATCTTATGTGATGCTCTGAAGCAAGAGGTTTCTTGTCATCTAAAGCTAGTGTTCAGGTTATACGCACATTACAATGTCTGCCACCATGAAAGGTGATGATAAGGCTACATTCGCACTGCAGGTCTTAATACTTAATTCAGCTTTTAAAAAAATCTGATTTTTTTGTCGTGAACGTTCACATTACATTTTCAATGTGACCTGCATCAGACTCCAGTGTGAATGATCCACAGCGCTGGTGTGACACGCATGCGCAGTAAAAGCCYTCTCATTCAGCTGCCTGTTTGTTTACGGAGTTAGCATGGATGCTACTTTTAGCATGTCGAATCTGAAGTTATTGTTCAATCAGAGCAGATTAAATAATTATCTGACATGCTAGTTTAGTTCGGTGTTTATATRTGAACCTTCCTCTAACAGGGATGCTCCGGTGCAGCATTTTATTTTTGGAACGAAGCAACGAGTGGGAAATAAAGTATCGACTGWGTTACTTTAGGATGGATACGCTCCACGACTGAGGCTGGACGTTACTAACTACATGGAAAATTAAAAGTGAAAAGACAAAGCAACTGGACTTCTGTTCTGGAGCTGTAAACACATGGAGCTAAAGATTTAAACAGCATAATTCAAGTGTCTTTATCAATCCTTCACKCCCACCTAACTGATGAAAAYGTTGGATGGAATGTGACATGAGTGTTCAGACAGCAGTCGCTTTAAAAAAAATCAGATATGGGTTGCATGGGGCAAAAAAATAGGATTTGGGTCGCATTTGCCTGCAGTGTGAACATAGCCTAGAGTAGTTACGAGTGATGCATCCAGAAAAAAAAAAGCCACAATCCTTCAGAGCTTTACGGTGGTACGGCCATCTTACTGGTCCTCAAATAAAGCAAGTGTGTTCACAAAGCAACAACTTTCTTTTTCAAGGTTGGCCAGATGACATTTRGCCTTCCTCCAGGCAAAAAAGAAAACAATAATAAGTAAAACTGTGCAGCTGGAGCTCTCACTGCAGCCAACAACACATCCATACATCAAATGAGTAGGTGCGGTCAAGAGGTTGTCCACTACACAATGGATTTCACTCCCGGCATTATCAGAAGTAGACCACAGGAGGTTTGTTGGACAGCGGGAGGTGTAGGCGAGTTTGTGAAGGAAACACGTTGGAAGCTTGGTAGAGATCCATATCTATTTTTTTTTATTGCCTTTTATGCACATATCTCATGTGCCGCAGGTGAGCTACAACAACCGGAGGCTTCATGAAAATGACTGCAGACCCTCAACTCTTTTTTTTTGGAAAAGCCATGCATGTAATAGCCATCTGTCTGTTTGGAAGGTGAGTATAGAGTCACACTGRGCAGCTCTGCGGGAGGTGCAGGGTGGGAGCAGCTATTTAACTTGCAGCAGATACGCCACTACTGACTGAGAGCTGCCACTTCTGAACGAGGGAGATCTCCTCCTGACTATTAACACGAAAAGATGTCAGTCATGGACAGAGCTAAATCTTTTTTTTCTGCACTCGCACACTCCTGGTTAGTCTGGGCTGGCTTTTTTTATTTTTTATTTTTGCGACAAGTGTTGTACATCTTTACACAGACAGCCCAGATGATTTACATCCTTCGGAGAGCCGCWGCGGTTAACACTGCTCTGTCATCCTGACAATTCACACTCACTAGAGGTGCAGGTACCGGTCCATTTTATCAAACTGGGAGACAGCTTGTGTATTTTTTTTTAAAAATGCAACATGTCGGTGTCGTYTTTTGGAACAAACACCGTTTTAAATTTTACCTTGACACTTGCACCTTCAGAACTTCCCGGAGGACCCTATAAAAAGAGAGAAAAAAAGGTGGATTTTATTGACTTTCCTTTTCTTGAAAATATCCTTATTAGTAGCTTGTGACATTAAAMCTGCTAACCTTTGCACTAATGTGAGCTCTGATAATAACTTCAGTCGTCTATACATAATTTTTGAGTGTGGCTTTGTTATGCACAGCTCACAGGCGCCACTGTTGTTGTAATATGCTAATTTGATTTTGAAAAACAACCCCTGCCCTCTCAGCTGCACTTGACACCCTGCTGCCACTGGACAAGAGGGAGTGATACCCTGGAGTGTGTTGTGAATAGACAATTTCGCCCTCCCGAGTTCTGCCTCGGCAAAACAGGTGACTATAATAAATGCCGATACGACAGGTTGGAGGCCGAACTGGCACATGTGCGGCATATCATCGGGACGTTGCCATTTAGAAATGTCATGCCTACTCTATCCCCGCACTTCGATAAAATTGCGTCCTGCGACAATGTGAGTTATTAAGGAGGCAGGGACAGTCTGAGTCACCCAGTCGTAAGCAGTGAGCAGCTCGGTTCTACTGAAGACAGCTCAACCTGAGCGTCGCCGGTGAAATGAGAACAGAGTGTCTTTATTTCGCGATGAAATAAAGACAAGCCCCATGTCCTGATGGTGCAATCAAGGCAGTAGTGCTTGAAAATAATTGCACACTCAAAACATCTAAGAGAACATTATACCCAACCGCTCCTGTTTGTCCTGACATGAGCACTTAAGTGTCTGACAAGCTGTCTGCTTTAACACACAGTGATGTTTGTGCCACGTTTCGTTTGTGGGTCACCGCACAAGCACCCAAACAGTGTCTGCGATTGGTTTGGACACCTGAGGAAAGGACTATAACTCAAGGAGTCAATGGGCCTACGAGGCAGACTTGTCCTACTCATCAATACAAACACTCTCAAGTGCTTCCTTAAAATACCCCTTGCGGTTTGGCGCTAATAATAAAGTCTGTTCGGCACAGTGTGGGCGCATGACAGACAATTTAGAAAAGATCAATACAGTGCAGGAGTAAAATTAGTCAGCACAGACATCTAAACATGGACAGAGTCTTGTTTGAAACAACATTTAAACACATTTACATGACATGCTTTGTATCTGCTGTCATTCCTGATTTGATTCTGTATGCACAACCTTTTGATCAGCTAAATATATAGTAACACATACAATCATTGCCTTTAATAATGGATGRTTTTGCAATTCTCCACATTTAAAAAAATCTTTGAACTGTTTTTTTGTAAAAGTTTTCCTCGTAAATGTCATGCACAATTAATGTCCAGCTCACTTTGAAGAAACAGTTTTATTCTGAACTGACAAACCAGTGTGAGTCAGATCAAGACTAAACTCGACGGTTGCTGTCTTAAAACAACTTCTGCCTCTGATATGTTAGTGTTTTTCATAAAGGCTACGTTTTTTGGAACCTTTACACCACTGTCAGTTTTGCCTAACATCATTATCCTTGCAGAAATATTCTAACGATCTTGTAGGAAGTGCCTCAGACTAAGTAACACTACCAGCTCCAAAAGTTCAACTTGCAAATAACCGTGCAACGCAACACTGACAGTGGTTAGATCGCTGTAGGGGTCATCAGAATTAACCTCTATTTCTCCAAACTTAGGTTGTTTCAAGAACTAGCTACATCGTATAAGTTATTAATCGATCATAATCTTTCCAAAAACACAACGTAGAAGGATTTGAATTATGCACAATGTGAAAACAAGCCTTCAGAGCCAAGATGAGTTTTTAATCAGTGGTAATAATTGCCATTGGCAAGCTGATTTTACTCCTTCTGTCTAAAAAAAAAGTTCTGTTTTTGCCTTCAGTGTGAAAATACTTACAAACTGAGGTTACACACTGTACTTCAGGTCACAACAACAACATAAGTGGATGGCATTGCAGTGCACCACAACTCATGATAAGCGCAACTTTGACAGTAACACATTGATTAGTGGAAGTCCTGAGAGTTGTATTGATTCAAACTTTCCTCTGTCTTCTCAAGGTTATTAACCACAGCCTCCGAGTGTGTCTGTTCAACTGCCAGTGCTAATCTTTGAGTGTTTGTCTTCCAAACAGGCTGGAGGTGCAATTACTAATAATTRACCCCTTAGGGACTGACTTGGTGAAAATTATACAAGCGGAATTAAATTGTTTTATCTGCTACAATGTAACACTCACAGGTAGGCCTCTGAGTCCAGGCTCCCCAGTCTTTCCTCTCCGCCCCTGAGGAAGGAACAGAGAAAGAGGGGAGGAAAACATCAGAATAAGACATGTACAACAACTGGCATAGTAAGACATGCGTGCTGCCAGCAAATAAGGCTAGACAGCAACTCCTGTCGCAGTCTCTAATTCACTTTTAATTAAGAACAAGAAAACAGCTTAATTGCCGCACCCCGTGTGGCCCACTACTCTTTGTTCCCTTGTTTGGTTTACTGCCTCCTTTCCAGCTGTGTGGTTCCCTCAGTGCATCAATCAACCTGAGGAGCAAACAGGACAAGCCAGCTGATGCTGCAGAGCGTTGCGACACAAGGTTGGAAAAATGCCATTGCAGACGTGTCTTTTGTTTTTATTTTGAACTTTTTACTTAAAATTACAAAAAAAAAGCCGTGGTGATGAAATACTTGAAAAGTGGGTAATTAAATGAAATGTAATGCTTTCTGAAGCAAAGCCGTGTTTCTACATCAAGAGAATGTCTGTGTGTGAAAAGAAAATAATACTCTGTGGATGTGAGCATAGCTTTCTACTGGCAGAGTGTCTCTGGATTTGTGTTAAGAAGTTTGTGGAGTTTGGATGGCTTGTGAGACAGAAATGAAATCTTCTTAATTAGGGGCTGATGATGCGCAAACCAATATTAATTTACTGCACATCTAAGAAATCAATGGCAAAAAAACAAAAAAGATCCGAAACCGTATTGAAGTTTTTATAAGAGCAAATATGCGATTACCTCTTTCTAGTAGGAGTTTCGTCACCTGACAAAGTGTGATATTGAGGCATTGTATTTCTCTTCTACTGTATGCATTAGTATGGATGACGCAAAGCACCTCTTCTCTCTACTAAGTTTTTATTTTCTTTTTTTCCTTTTCCGTGTGGATCTGTGAGAGGGAAAATCTCTCTGGCACCTGAAAGAAAAAGTTGAAAATCACAAAGTGACGCCCCCAAATCTTTCCTCTGACACCCTATACGCAGACTTTGATTAACTGGGTCGAACTTGACATGTACGATTGCCTGCAACAAAGGCAGAGGAAAGAACTTCACCTCAGTAAGAGCTACTGCATTTAATCATCTGTTTGCATGTACTCTCCAGCTCCTGGGCTGTGTGTGTGTACTTCTCTGTCTGTTGTCCAGAGATTACAGGATTATGAAGAGGGGAAGCCAAGGTGTAGCATGGTAAATATAAACCTTAATAACGTCACAATAGAATCGGTGGAACTTGCAATTATTGGGGGAATTGCATGTTTTTCCTGTCTGTGCTGTTTGATACACTAGTAAAATCTTGACCAGCAGCTTTTGATCATCTGTAAAGGCCTCCACATACTCCATCAGAAGTGAACAGTGGACACGTCATGTYGTTGTTCGGCGCTTGTTTATGCAGYCACCTTTCATAGTCCTTGAAACACAAACCCCTTCCGTAACTTTATCCATCGCTGTCGGGGTTTCTTCCTAGAATCTACACACCGGATACAACAGTAGGCTTCTGGAGCAAGTAAATGAAACAAAATGTAGCGCTTTCAGCATAAACAAACAGGCCCACAAACTTTAGACCAACCACATAATAATTTCTTATGTGAAGGGGGTAAAAGGTTCTCCCAGCGGTTGTGACAAGAAGGGGTGTAAGACTCGAAGCTGCAAACTCAATGATGCAATTTTTGTCATAAAACCGACAATCAAAACAGCAGTTTGAATCGGATATGCAGAAGTCATAACGCTTTGCTCTGGGAGTTTTAAAGGTAGGGTGTGAATGCAAGAGCTTCCGGGCTCAGATCCCGGACGAGCCCCCATTTGTTACCAACTTGGCTCATAGTTGGCAACAAAAAAGTAGACTCCACAGATAAAACTTAGCTTGTTCACATTTAGTATTGTCCAAAACTGTTCACTGTGGAAAAAAAGATGATTAGGACAATAAAAGGAAAAACATTCTGCAAAGCTGAGAGTCCTAAAGCACTGTGTACTGAGCTACCTTTATACCTGTCACACACCCACTTCTCAGGTGCAACTGGAGATATAATGAGCTATCCCAATCATCCCATATAGGGAAGATAAAACATGCCCATCTTAAGGCTCCCAAGCCATCACAAGGGTCTTTTGGAAAATCAACCTTTTTTAGCTTTATATCATGTTATTATATCATTCTCTCATTAAAAACATGCACAGAGTGCTGCTTTGACTAATTCATTTATAATTGAGAAATCCCTAAATCTCCCGTGGTAGCCATGTGAGCTGTCTAAACACTTGCTGGTACAAAGCACCGCCTATTTAACCAAAGCTCCTCCCTGGAGCTCAATCCCCAGCCAAGCTCCTCCCTGGAGCCCCACAGAGCAACCCTTCCTGAAAGCCTTGTTATGAAGACGTGCTAAAGTGGGAGTGTCTGAAACGTCGGGAGGTTTTTAAAGAGACAGAGGCCATTTGCAAGGCATTTACATATACAGCATTTTCATAACAGCTGAAGGTAACATAGTTACTTGATTGTGGTAAAGAATAGAACTATGTGCCTAGAAAATACATAATTCAGCCCCGTTAATGMAAACTGGCAGGAATAAGTCAAATTGCCTAGATGTGACAAAGCAGCATTTTTTGAAGACTGGAATCTTTCACTTCTAATGGCTAAAATTATATTACACCGAAGAACCTCTGTTGAAGGTTACTGTTTTGTCATAAAAAGAGTTTTCTGAGAAGGAGCCAAAGGGGTACCTATAGATGTGGGTGCAACATGTAGATTCAAAACAGACTTTTTGTACTAAAGGTCTCCATGTCAAGACTGCGATTTAGCAAGGGTGGATGGTGTTATATTTTTCTCTTTCAGTGAAAATCAACAAACAGACACTGCATCGTTGCAACGACTGAAAAAATAAAATCAAACTGTTTGTTCTAGCTTTAGTCCCTGCTGCTGCCCTTTCCCCTCTGAACACAACAACAAAAGCAGATTACGCAGATAAGTAATTTAGCTAATGAATATTTCATACGCTATTATTCCAAGTAGGTCATGAATTATGCAGTTTTCAAAAATCATTTCTCCGTGCTTGCCCTTAAAATCTCATTTAACTTCAATGTACAGAGTAATTTTATGTCCATGTATTTGCATCCAATCATCCAAATAAATAAATATGGGCTCTCTGTGTTTTTTTTTAATCTAGTGAAGTTTGAGCAACTCTAGTGTTCACACAGAAACATTGTTATCCCACTGATTTAATAAATTCATTCATTGTAGGTAGCCTGACCAATTTCTGCCCAGAGAATCCCTTAATTACCACCCTATTTTCCACAAATATGTGCAAGGAAAACAAAATTTAAAATGTCTGCAACCACTATCACTGTTCACACTCAGCTGAAACACCTAATAGTGACACCGTGATAAAACAACCTGTAAAGGTTCATGTCAGCTCGGACATTTTGAAACCATCAGGACAGAAAAAAAACATAGCAACATGAGATGCTCTGCAGAGGCTGCCCTTAAAAACTCGTGTCAAATGTTTTAAAGTAATAACCAAGGAACCTAAAGTTACATTCTGTGTAAGTATCATCCTTAAAATGTCATGTTTAAAACACTAGACCTCTGTAAAAGTGATGCCAGAACATTTGGTCATTCTGAAGGTATTTTATCCATTTGAACAAACAGAATATTGTCACTAGAACTATAAACACWTCTTGAACCACAGCAAATAACTATTGTAACTGTCCGATATACAGGCATTCATTGTTATTAATTTTTCTTTCTGATGCTGACATATAAAACTGAGGCTGTTATCGTCAATATTGATACAATACATGTACTTGGTGCAAATGCACCTAATGTGTCTGGTACATCTAAAACAATTAGTGAATTTTAAATAATCAGCTTTAAAGTGTTTTTTTTAGATCCTGAACTCACCTCTTCTGTTCCAGAATGAGTCCTTTCACCACTTTTCATAACAACTCCTTCATAAGTTTTGTTGTCTGACGAAATGAGAACTAGAGTGTAAAATCCAAGGCAGTCACTAAGCAACAAGGTTGGAAAGAAATGAAAATTGAGGATTTTAACTTTGCTTTMAGAGAGGAAACAACAAATTAAACATTTGACACGGTCACAAAACAGAAAAGGGTGAAATGTATGGTCACAACTTGTTTTAACTTTAGACTTTAGCACCCTTACGCTCAACTTTTACTATAAAAACTATCTAAATTAGAATTTAATCTATCAGCTGTTCCTTGTGAATCTTATATTTTAGCCTATAAGGATGCTATCTGTCCTCCCTCTCCCTTTTTGTGAATCTCATTTCTCTTTAGTTCCGATTTATTTAATTCCTCTCTCCTGACTCCTGCTTTTCTTGTCATCCCCCCTTCCTTCCCCATGCTTTCTGTCACTCAGCTTTTCTCTTCACCCAAGTTCCAGCGTCTGTTGGATCACCCCGGCAATCTCTGTTGCTACGCAACACTCAGTGTCCTATAAATTTGACAACATCCTAGCGCTTGATTATTATTTGAGCGCTGCAGTGTGAAGTCCTCCTTCAGGTCATTGCAGCAGATTAGAGGGAGGGAGAGATGGAGGAAAGCAAGGAGGGGAGGGAGAGATGAGAAGAAGGTGGGACAAATAAAAGGGATGGAGGAGATAAAATGAGGGAGTCAGAGGTTAGGATAAACTACTTCTGAGTAAGTAATAAAGTACTAAGCATATATTCTCATGAGCAAATCTTTCTGTTCTGGGCAGTGGCGGAGCCAGACATTTTTCTCAGGGGTGGCCAAACGGGGACCACTACTCACACAGGGGTGGCCAGGAAAATGACATAATTTTTAACTTGAAAGCTTCTGCAGATCTTTGTGTTTTCGTCATTTCCTTATGTCCTTATACAGGCAGTGACTACCTTATAAACATGGGTGTCAGAACCATTTTAAAAGTGGGGGGACACAGTGTTGGGGGGTCTGGGGGTCCTCCACCAGAAAATTTTGAGCGAAATAGATGCCATTTCCTGCATTCTGGTGTATTTTACCAGGTTATTACACATAATTTCACCTACATAAATAAACACTTG